CCCAACATGTACTCTTCGCTCCTCACAAGACCTCCTACTCTCTAGCTCCCTGGTCTCCTCCTCCCATGCCCGACTCCAGGACTTCTCCAGGTCTTCCACCATCCTCTGGAACTCACTACCCCAATCCATCAGACTGTCACCTACCCTCCTCACATTTAGGCGCACCCTGAAAACCCATCTCTTCAGGGAAGCCTACCCCGCCCTCACCTAACTGCCGAGCTCCTCCACACTCCTCCTACCACTCCATCCCCCACAGCCATTTCCTCCTTTACCACTATCCCCTCCCTCCTAGATTGTAAGCTCCAAGGAGCAAGGTCTTCAAACCCATCGTGTATTGTATTGTTAATGTATTGTCTCATGTACTGTCTCCCACTATAATGTTCAGCGCTGAGCAAACCTTTTGGCGCTATATAAATACTGTATAATAATAATATTTTCCAGCTTGCCAGCAAGAATCCAAAGCTGAAATACCAGTCTTAGGTAGTGTTGATGCTTCAGGCTGCATTCACATTTGTGTGCATTCATGCATATTAATGTGTGTTACAACAACATGGGATCATCCACTGTTTCATTTTTCAGAACACACAAATACAAATATTGGCACACTACAAACAATCCTGACCCTCAAGGGTGCCATACAGTGTGCTGGTGGACATGTATTGTCTGTGTGTCTGTGGACATGTATTGAGGGCTCATTGACAATTAACTCTCAATAGGATTTTATTCAAAAAATTTAAGTAAAGGAGAAGTACTAAATATTTGTATACGGAGTACAAGGCATGGACAACTGAGTTATGACTAATTCCATAATAGAGTCTCAGTTACCATACGACATCCAACTATGTCTTAGTGACCATTGCAAACAATAAGAGGATGTCCATCTCAAAGAAGATGCAAGAACATATTGTGAGATATAAGCAATTGTGTCTGTCAGTTATAAATATATATGTCTGGTAAAGAACAAAGAGAAACCAGGGAAAGAGGGAGGTTAAAAGAAGGAAAAGGATAACAGAAAAGAGTTAGGCCTGGGAATCTTCACCTCTCTGCTTGGTCCGCTTGAGTTGAAGGTTGCATTTTGGTTCTGAACATTTTGGGCCCATGGGTCCCATGTTTTATCAAATTTTTTGGATGTATCATTAATAATCCAGTCAATTTTTTCTTGGATTATTATTCACAAGATTTTCCTTCCAACCTGTGTATACAAAACGTCAGGTTTTTCTCCATGCTTCAGCAGTATTATTTTGGCTGCTGGAAAAATAAAAATTATCTTTCCTTGTGAGCATCACGGAATACATTTAACAGGTTAATTGAGCAGGGCTATTTGAGGTTGCTGTGGAATTTGCAGTCCAGTACTGTGGTGGAACATTGAGAACTCCATAAAACTCCAACTCCATTCCACAAACTCCTAATTGGAGGCATTCCCACCAGATGTGGTACATTGAGCCTCGTAAGGCACAACTCCGTATCAGGGGCATTCCACCTAGATATAGTACATTGAGCCCCATAAGGCACAACCCTAGCAATAATCCCATTGACATTTAAATACAGTGTTCAGTGCTACGCATGATGGCATGTCAAAAATGTGCAACAATGTGTGCACAAGTGTTGAGGAGAATGGAGTATAGTATGTAGAACATGTGTTTTGTAGAATCTAAGCAAATAAGGCAATTTTTGGACAAGAGATATCCAGACAATTTCCAGTCTGACTACTAAAATCACCAGTGATGAATCACTAAGGGGGCCATTTGTAATGCAGAGTTGCTATCTGTTCTTCGTTTAAACTCTGCAGGGCTACTGAATACCGCTGCCTGGCCATTCATAAAAATCTTTATCTTATGGAGTTCTCTCTGTTTAACGCAGCAGAGAGGACTCCATGATTGGAGGCAAGTATGTAATACAGTATGACTTTGACAGTTCTCATAATTGGACTGGACACTGCTCCTTTTTTGTTTTAAACAGCTTGTCAATTATTACTATTTTGCTCTGCAGGCAACTTCTGAAGCCAGTGGAGCGCAATGCACATTTGTAAAGAAAATCACTGTGCTTTTTTTTTTTTTAAGCAGTAGTATGGCTGTATTGCTGCTTTTCTTTATAGAAGAACTCCAGGATAGGCAAACAAATCACCCATTAGTACACCCCATACACAAAACATTAAACAGTTAATTAAATTTTTAACATTTTTTACCATTTAGGAGAAAGGTTTAATTGAATTTTCTTGACTTCATCTCTATAATTCAAAAGATAAAACAGCATGTGCTCTGCCAAGGAGGTGGTGTAACAGCAGGGATTACATCATATCCTCTCCTCTTTCTCTGCAGTAAAAGGAAACTACAGTTCCCATCAAGCACAGGGATTTGTATTGAATGTGGGCGGGTACACTAGGCCTGTACCATGTTGAATGTGTCTGAGAGTCTCAGTCCGCCCACCACTGCAAGTGGGGCTGAATTACATTACTGCTTTCTGGAGAAAGAACTACAAAAGGGATGTGCCAAGACCAGTTGCTGGGGGAATAGGAGGCATAGCAGTCACTGGTCTTACAAACAGGAAACCAAAGAGAATTAACAGTTTGATTTGAAAATTCTAAGGGTAGGAAATCAGCAACAAAGACATGTAAGGATGTTTTTTTCCTGAAGTTCTGCTTTAATAGACCCCTAAGAGTAACAATCCATAGATAAACAGACAGAAAAAATGCAATGGTGTAAACTACACAAGCAGCACTAGTAGGTATTAACTGCATACAACTGGACCCTGTACAACTATTATATGTGTATGTGTAGTTTTCACCATAGGGAGCCATTTTTGTTGATAGTTGGCTCTTAGTAATTCACAGCCAACAATTTCAGCTGAATGATTAAGCTACTTAGAAAAAATATCTGTGTAGTTTATGAAAGCAGAACTTTCAGGTGCCCACCAAGGTCAAAGAGCAAGACACTGCCTGTACAGCTGACACAGTCTATTTATTCAAGGAATGGGCCAGCTTAGGACTCCCTGGGGCAGCTGGCAATGTGATATGCCATAAAAAGAGATATGTGGTCTTTACAGATATGCTTCCTGGGAAAATATGGAATTATGGAATGCCCCTACTAATAGAGACAGGATATGTGCGTAATAATCGCAACAGCTGAAATCGTCTTTATAGGGGACTCTCTATGTATTTCGGAGAATGTTAAGCCAGATAGAAAGTTGTGGAGAGAATGTGAGAAAGTTATCTATATGACCAACTGCTGTTTATTGGTGGGGATCTCCCTGCTTGAAACCCCCTTCAATCAACTATATTTACAAATAGCCCAAAGGCTTGCACTTCTAGCAACATAGGCACAGCAACCTGTAGCATTTCAAAGGTGTTTCAAATCTGGACTGTAAAAAGCCATGTGTTCATGTGTGCAACCTACTTACAGATTAAGATGTTATGGTATGTTTGTAAGAATACCAAACCGCCTTCAAACCGACTGTCCTGGGAAAACAAACGATTGGTTGTGTTGGATTTTTCTAAGTAGTCACAGTTGCTTTTCCATTGAAAGAAACTAGTGCTGAGGATCTCCTTCTACTATCTTCCCGTGCTATCGTCCGTATACATACAGTATACATTTGTACACTTGGCCAATCTGAGTATGCATACTTATGGAAAGTTACTTCAGCAGTTGAATAATACCTGTCTTGCCACCACATAAAAATTGGCTTCAATTAAAAGGGGAACTATAGTGATTTTACATTTTTAAACTGCTATTTTATATTCCCTTTTGTTATATATAGACAACCTTTGTTTTACAAATGAACACTTAATACATAACAAAAGTTTCCCAGAGGCCAATGAGTTAGCTAAAGAGTCCTCACAGCAGAGCAGCTTGCTTTGCAGCTCCCTTTGTCTGACTGAAATGCTTGACTGGGCTGTCTAATAAGGGAGTAGTTACTGCTGTGTTTCAGCATAGAGAAAGCGATATGTTTTACTTGTGAAAAGAAGACTAACTCCACCTTTTGGCTGGATGGAAGGCCAGCAAATAATACAATATTATAAAGAAACAATAAATAGAAATAAATTACCATTTTTTTTTTTTGTATGGCTGTAGTTAATAAGGTCGGTGCATGGAAAACCAATTTACATTCCCCCTAGGGCCTCATGCATGAACTATCAAACAGAAGGACAGTTTTGTGTTTTGCTCCAAGAAACCAGCCAGTTTTTCATGATGTAAACTGTACAAGCAGCAGGGAAGCTGGCATTTGATTGATTGTTTACTGGGTAGGACTATACAAAGTTATGCAGTTTGTTCTTGGACATAAGGCCCTTAAGCTGGCCATAGACGGTTTGAACATTGGCCGGTTCAGCAGGGACGGGCCAAGATGTCAAACCATGTATGGGCAGGCTGAATGCACCTAAGTTGATCCATCAATCAACTTGGGACAACCAGCCTTTTGTATTTTACATGCGATTATTGCTAGCGGCTATTATAGCTGCTAGCAGTAATCACTGTGTTCTCCCGGCAGGGATGGCTCCCCCCACCAGGAGAACACAATGGCTCTGCAGGAGTTATGGACTGTGTTGATGGGGGAATCAAGCGATTTTCTTTACTGCAACCTGTGGTTGCTGGAAAAAAAATTGCTCTATCTATGGCCGGTTTAAGTGATTTACTAGGTAGGGTAGTAAAGATTTTGTATTGCACTGTCAATTGAGCAATAGCCTCCAGGTATCTGCAGATTGACGGATAGAAGTTCCTAGCTAGGACTAAGACAGGGATGTATTTTTTTCTAGGGGTTGCATTAGACAAAATGCGCACATCATCGACTACTGACCTAAAAAAACCTTATAGATAAAGATGTCCCCTGCCTAGCAAGATTTGAGCTTCTCCGTACTTCTAGAAATCTTTTATATATTAAATACTTTGAAATCTATTCTAAACTTATAACTGTGACATATTATAAATGTTTCTGCTCTCTCTTGTGTTATTTTCATATAAGTAGTGGATCTGTACTTCACTGTTTAATCCTTGGTATATCTTCGACAGGACTTTGAGAAGGCCCTCTTCTTTCCATGTAAGGCAGCTGAACTAGTTAACGACTATGGGAAAGGCTGGAGCCTGAAATACAGAGCCATGAGCCAGTACCACATGGCCGTGGCATATCGTAAGCTCGGTCGTTTAACAGATGCCATGGAATGTTGCGAGGTAAGACATCAGTGTCATGTAACTTGTTCTGTGGATAAAAAAGTAGAAACCATTCTTTATGCAAACACATTGGCTCTCGAAGGGTAAGCTAGTCGAAAATGTAGGTTTTAGTTGTATTCAGGTGGTATGATACTCCAAGTAGGGGAAACTGGTAGGCTAAGGTATCCCATGGTTTCTAGTATATGTTGGGTTCTTCAATAGTGAGATCTAGCGATAAGTCCTAACTCCTGGTTCTGTCCACCTGGGAATTTTGGTTATTCCTATCCACTTTAGTGTGTCCCAGCCTCTAATATTACATTCTCTATAATATACATAAATTTAGCAGACAGAGTGGGAGCTCCTCATAAAGGCCTTAGCAGGTGGGTAAATGTTGGCAAGTTAAATCCCCTGGGGTTTCTTGAATCTTTCAAGGGTTTCTCCTTAATCTGCAAACCAGCCTGTTATTTACGTTTAGGGGGTGGGAAATGGGAAATTTTCTAAAGCTTAAAAATGTAACTTCTCTAAGTAGGGGCCCCAATATAGAAGGCTATCCACCGTCTGAAGCCCCCTTGTAAACAGTAGTGAGATATTTGTTCTGCTATTGTGTTAGATAACCTGAAGAACCATCAAGAACATCATTAACAAGAACTGTTCTACCTTACCCTACAGCCACAAATCAAATTCAAATTGTCTTACATATTTTTTGATAGCTAAAACTGTGTCCATATATTAAATTATGCATATTTAGCTGTTTGCCTGGAGCAGCGACTGATTAAAGTTGTAAAGGCTCAAGATTTTGTACCTTCATATATTTTATGCATGAACGTAAAAACCTTCTGTGTGCAGCTCCTCCCCAGCCACCCCCCCCAATACGTACCTGAGCCCCATCGCGATCCAGAGGTGTGCACGAGAGTCTCAGCTCTCTGGGGACTCTCCCTCCTTATTGGCTGAGACAAGGAGCCAAGGATGAGAGAGAGGGAGCAGAGCTGAGCCGCAGGTCTGTTTGTGAATGGACATGCAGAGCATGGGCTTGCTCTGTGAGCACTTGACAGGAGGGAGGGGCCAGGAGTGCCAGCGGTGCACCCGAGAAGATTGGGACTGCTCTGTGCAATTGCACAAAGCAGGAAAGTATTACATTTAAAAAAAAATGCCTTTAATATCACTTAAAGGAATAGGTCCCTAGTCAAGGTAGCATCTTTCGTTCCCATATCTCTTCCGTTCCCATATCTCTTGGTAAGGAGAAGGTGCCCCATTCCCATTGTTTTTACTGGCATAACCCTATCAGGCACCAGGGGGTTTATTTACTAAAGCTGGAGAGTCCAAAATCAGACTCCCTTCTGCATAGAAACCAATCAGCTTCTAACCTCAGCTTGTTCAATGAAGCTTTGGCAATGAAACCTGGAAGCTGATTGGTTTCTATGCAGAAGTGAGTCTGATTTTGGACTCTCCAGCTTTAGTAAATAAACCCCCAAATGTCTACAAGTTCTCCTTTCCTTGTGAAATAAAAGACAGGCACATGGCTTTGATTAAACCCCCCCCCCCCCCCAGTTCAGTGCAAGAACAACACAATACTCATGTTAATTATGTACCTATGTCATTACCTGCTCTCTGCCTAAATTGTCTTCCTGCTTTTATTTGTAGTCAGGCTATAGTGAGGTAGGTCAAAAGAAACTGAAATACAGAGGTTATGTCATCACTTCAGCATGCAGAAATGTCCTTATTTAAAACATAATGAAAGGCAAAACTTTTTTTTTTTTTGGGTAGAGTGTTGAGTGGTTAGAACCCCCATCATGTTTTTATTTCTGCCTTTAACCCCAATAGGGAGGTTCACTCTCTCTTATTGTCCTAATCACCAATGTCTCCAGGAATGAAAGTAAGGGTAAAGCCAAAATGTTGAGTTGCTACCAGAACAGGAATAAAGGAGAAATCATTCAAAGGGGACACTTGTTTTCCTTACATTGCAAAGATATCCTAGCATTTCCTGTTGAGTCTATGGGACTGGAAGTGAAGGGAAATCTCCCTAAAGAGACACAAGATGATGGCAGAAGAAAACAAAAATGGTTTTAAAGAAGATTTCCAGGTATGGATATTTTTACATAGGTACATTGGTCAAACGTGGATCAATGTAATATGCATGTATTATACCTGTGGGATCCCTCTAGATGCTGGAAATCACTGTAGTAGACATTGCTACTACAGTGATTGCTATTTCCTTCTGGGTCCTGTGCCTAGTGGCTGCCCTGCTGCATTCTGAACACAGAGTCAGCGGCTGGGAATGGTTGCCATTCAGAAAATACTTAGCATTTTCTCAATGAATGCAAAGCTTTCTCTCATTAGATGAGGTGGAGAATGTGACATCACCACCCACCTCTCTACCCCGTCCAATCAGAGAATGCTTTGCATTTACTGAGAAAATGCAAAGTGATCTCTGAATGGCCCGGTGCCAAATGGCCAACCTCCTGTGTTCACAATGCAGCAGGGCAGCCAATTGGTACAGAACCCTTAGGGCTCGTTCACACTTGACTTTATTTCTAACTCTTGCCAAACGGCCCTATAGTGTTAGACAGATGTTTGGGAAGTGTTTTTAACACTCCCCAAACGCTCCATGCGCGGTTTTGAGGTGGTTGATAGCTGTTTGCCAAGCGTTTTAAAACCACACCACAACCGCCTATAATGAAGTTAAATGGTATTAACGCTTCGCAACCCGCACCGCAAACGCCTGCCAGGCGTTTGCGGAGCGGCACCATAGACTTGAATGGGAGGCTTCAACTCCTCTGACTCGACACGAGGCATCAGTTTTGCCTTGATGCTAACGCTTCAGTGTGAACAGCACTGTGTGCTGCCATGTGCAGAATTTTCATAGGCGTTTGAGAAGCGTTAAAAACGCTTCCCAAACGCTTGTCTGACGCTTGCTGACAAAGCTAGTGTGAACGTAGCCTAAAGCTAGTGGAGATCGCTGGAATAGCGGTATTTATTACAGTGTTTCTAGAGACCCCACTGATATAGTTACATTGGACCCAAAACCAATACTCTAAAATAAATGAACTCCTTGCTATGCGGTGGTGGCAGTGATCTTCTGCTTTAGGAAGACATAGGGAATGATTTACTGAAACTGGAGAGTGCAAAATCCAGTGCAGCTCTGCGTGGTAGCCAATCAGCCTCTAACTTCAACTTGTTCAATTGAGCGTGGACAATAAATCCTGGAACCTAATTAGTTTATATGTAGAGCTGCACTCCATTTTTTGCACTCTCCGGTTTTAGTAAATCTCCTCCATACTGTACCTTACTCATCTTAAAAATAACAGATAGACTTACATGAACAAAGACATAAATAAATGACAGCTGTGTTCACATACCCTCATAGTCCTGAATATTTCTAACCGCTCTGATGATGGCTGTTTAGTTGTAACACACAGTCAGGGTAACAGAGAAATACTTTTGCTCTAGGTTTGATACTTTGCAGAATAGACAGGCACACTTTTTAATCTTATCTCTTTGATTTAAGGAGTCTATGAAGATAGCTATGCAACATGGTGATCGTCCACTTCAAGCTCTTTGTCTCCTGTGCTTTGCTGACATCCACAGAAGTCATGGGGACATTGAGGTAAATGTTACTAAGGAAAGCTTTAATTTGTAATTGAAGAACTGCTGTAAAGGATTTGTAACTGCATAACCCAAATGTACATCCAAGCCGCCCTTTCTCCTCCTAGACCATATCACAGCATTGGTTTTTATTTTACCTTGTTCCTGTAGTGAGAAACCCCTTTTATTTCCTGTGATGTTATCACCAGGCTTGCAGGGGCAGCTACTGGAAGTTCAGTTCCTACTGGTGTAGGCAAGCCCCAGAACTACATCTGCCAAGAGTCTTTTCCCTACACTCAGTGTGTGGGCAGGCTTTTGGAAGTGAAGGCAGCAACATTGTTTTTCTGGGGAAAACAAAAATCAATGTATGCATAAGGAGAGGGACAGAGAGGTGTGGGGAATGAACAGAATTTTGTAGTCTAGCAAACAGGGCTGAAAGTTGTGGTTGGGTACAATAAATTAGGTGTACACTGAAGTTGTACTTGCAGCATTTTTAAAGGGCTAAAACATAGGGAATGAGTATATATTGGAGATGTACTGATTTTTATTTTTTTGCACTGGTATACATTTAAAGAGAACAAGTCATTTCTTTAGGAACCTTTAAGAAGAACTTTCACTCCCCCCACTTTTTCCCATCCATCCCTGCTACCTGTAATGCCAGACTCTCATCAGAAAACATACTCACCTGCCCAGTGGATCCAGCATTATCCTGCTGTGATCTGCTGATCAGGTGTCCCAGCCTGTGGGCCATGCTGCTATCCTGGTGCACTCACTCACCAGGAGCCCGGCTGCCTCTTCCACGCTTGGGTAGCTAGGCCCCCTATGACAAGCACCAGCTCTGCCTATCCACTGCTCTGTGAATGGGCTCCCACAGCCTCCGGGGATAAGGGAAAGGGATATCCCAGGAGCCAGCAGGAGTGAGGAGTATGGCCTAGGCAAGAATAGCGTTGGGTGTTGGGGCCATAGAAAGAAAAAAAAAAAAATAGAACAAACCTGAGAAAAAAAGCATGTTGTTTAGCTAGTGGAGGGGGTAACAGAGGTAGGAACTAAAAGTCCCTTTCTTGGGTGAAGTTCTACTTTAATAGCATGTAGCACTTAGCGCTGTTTCTTCTGTAGTAAGAACTGTTTCTTCTCTGTGCCCCCCACCTGCTTGTCCTCCTGGGGACAAGATGCAGCTTCACCCACTCTCGTTGTGTTACAAGCCTCGCAGCATTTTGACGTAGGTGCCCAGGGGAGCCCCAGGTCTTTTAGGACTATAGCAACTGCCTTAATCCACTTTTATGCACATATCCATTTTCTGCACACTGTCAAAATTTTAATCATGTTGCTAAAATGTGATAAAGCAGTGAGAGACCTGAAATCCACCATAATAATACAAAGCTGAATTCTCTCCATTCTGAATGTGAAATGAGTATTATACTGTATACTCCGAGTTGGTAGCAAAGGTATTTAGGTGCAATTAAAGGTCAGTACGTTTCCAGAGGCAGAGCAGACATTCTTTAGAAAGACAATTGTTTAAGAGAATGCAAATCACAGTCTTCAGGGAATGGAATGAGTGACACTGACAAAACCAATGACTGACTGCTCCAGTTTTTTTTTAAATTGGATTATTTCCTTTTCTTTAATGGTGCTTTCTGGGTGCCCACACAGAATGCAGACAATTTGCCCCAAGAAGCAATATTCAGAATATCTTTTTGCTGGAAACTAGAAAGGGCACATTTTTCAAGTCTTGCTGATTAATTTGGCTACATCTTTATGAAAATTGGTACATTAATAGGCTGCATAGTAAATGATTACTTACAATTCTGCTTTGTCTTGCCAGAAAGCAATTCCACGATACGATTCTTCCATGAGCATTATGACGGAAATTGGTAATCGCTTAGGTCAAACACTAGTGCTGATGGGAGTCGCCAAGTGTTGGCTACACCAAAAGGAAATGGACAAGGTATAATGTGTTTTAGGGGAGGAAATGAGAAACTTTGGTATAGTAATAAAGCCAGTGCACTTAAAGTGTATCTGAAACATAGTTTCTTTCTTTTTTTAGTTTTGGATTTATTAGGTATTGGTCCAAAACTGTCAGTTTTTTTGCTGTCTGTGTCTGTGGGGAGATTTGTTCTCAATTCCTGTCCCAGACCCACAAAAGGAAATGAGATGAAAATCCCTGTTAGACCGTTGTCACAGAAGCAGATGTCCCTGTTAGACAATTTCCCATCTATTCCTGCTCTGGTGACAGTTGTAAGACTTTATATTTCCACCACGGCCAATAGAATAGGTGAATATACCCACCTTGGGGATACTGACAGCAATAAAACTAGAAAGAGATTATATTCTTTCCCACTCTACCCATTTAGTATTCTGCCGTTGTAAATAGTGTGGTCTTCTGCTGCTGTAGCTGGTGGGATTCTTCTGTTGTAGCCAGTGTGGTCTTCTGCTGCTGTAGCCGGTATGGTCTTGTGGCTACTGTAGCCAGCGTGATCTTCTGGTACCATAATCATTGTGGGCTTCTGCTATAGATGGTGTGGTCTGCTGCTGTAGACAATGTGGTCTTCTGCTGCTAAGGACGATGTGATCTACTGCTGTTGTAGCTGGTGCTGTCTTTGACTGTGGTAGCTAGTGTGGTCTTTTGCTGCTGTAAACGGTGTGGTTTTCTTTTGCTGTTGTAGCTGGTTTGGTCTTTTGTTGTAGCCAGCATTGTCTTCTGACTGCTGTAGCCAGTATGATCTTCTGCTGCCATAATCTGTGTGGTCTGCTGCTGTAGAGGGTGTGGTCTGCTGCTGTAGATGGCATGGTCTGCTGCTGTAGATGGCATGGTCTGCTGCTGTAGATGGCATGGTCTGCTGCTGTAGATGGCGTGGTCTGCTGCTGTAGATGGCGTGGTCTGCTGCTGTAGATGGGTGTGGTCTGCTGCTGTAGATGGCGTGGTCTGCTGCTGTAGATGGCGTGGTCTGCTGCTGTAGATGGCGTGGTCTGCTGAAGTCTGCTGCTGTAGATGGTGTGGTCTGCTGCTGTAGATGGTGTGGTCTGCTGCTGTAGATGGTGTGGTCTGCTGCTGTAGATGGTGTGGTCTGCTGCTGTAGATGGTGTGGTCTGCTGCTGTAGATGGTGTGGTCTGCTGCTGTAGACGGTGTGGTCTTCTGATTGTTGTAGCCACTGTGTAGTCTACAACTGTTGTAGCCAGCTTGGTCTTCGATTGTTGTAGCCAGCGTGGTCTTCGACTGTTGTAGCCATCATGGTCTTCTCTCTGTTGTAACCAGTATAATCTTCTGCTGCCATAATCAGTGTGGCCTGTTACTGTAGATGGTGTGGTCTTCTGTTGCTGTAGAAAATGTGGCCTTCTGCTGTTGAGGAAGATGTGGTCTTCGACTGTTGTAGCCAGTGTGGACTTCTGTTGTTGTAGCTGGTGTGGTCTTCTGCTGGTATAGATGATGAGATGTTCTTCTGCTGTAGATGGACGGTGTGATCTTCTGCTTTCGTAGATTATTTAATTTTGTACTGTTGTAGCTTTTTCAAGGTTTAACTTACTGTGCAATTAGATATATCCCTCTGTGCACTCTTGTTGAAAAAATGGTAAATTGAGCAGTTGTGCTCTTCCTCTCAGTTTGAACATGGGCTGCTCTGACACGGTTTTACAAGATGTTGCCCTCAGTAATAGTCCAGGGTGGTCACTGTATATTTTTAGTTTATTGGACCTTTATCTGTAAACTGAGTGGTCTGTTTTGTTTGAAACCCATGTCTTTAATGCATGGGGCCAACAATCATTCCATGGTCAGCATTACCTAGATCAGATTCTTGACTACTGTGATGCTTGGTTGAAAAACCGTTGAACGATTTGCATTTGTCTTGGGTTGCAGCCACATGGTATGCCATTTGTGTTTTTGAGGAGGTGTAAATAGTAATGTTGCCACTAAGTGTGTGAAAGTGTTTGCAAGATCAGGGTTTGTTGTCCCTTATTAAACCATAAGGATAAACTGGCAGCTGTAAGGGGTAAACACTGACAGTTCTTTTGGCAGTGTCATGGGGCGCTCTTTTGATTGATGTTGTTCTATAGCAGATGTGAGGTGTATGATGAAGTGTACATTAATCCACAGATGGGAAGCAGTAGTCTGGCCTGGTACGTACTTGCAGTCTATCTGGAACATGGAGGCAGTGTAATGGTATTTCAGGGGGAGGGTGGAAGTTGTAGACTCCGCTATGCGCTGCATCTGTTCTGTCTGTAATCAGGTCAGCCCTGGCTATGGCAGTTACACAATAACAAGAATTTACTCCTGGTTCTCTGCCTGACACGTGTGCTTAATCTGCAGGCCCTGGATGGACTCCAGAAAGCCCAGGAGTTGGCAGAAGAGATAGGCAATAAGGTGAGTGAGGCAATGGAGATTAATAGAGATTTCCTCTAACCCACCTCCCCAATTCCCATATATGAAATCCTCTCCTCTTTCTTTCTCCTATAATGCCCTCAACAGTTTATATTACTCTTTATGAGACACATGATACTTATCAGCTGTTATATGACTATCGTTCATAGCAAAGCATTCTGGGAGTTTTTATTTGTCACTAGAAAATATACTGCATTTGGTACCTTTTACTCCTTGGTTCCACTTGCCTCTGATGGTAAAGTTTAGGATTTTTCCCTTAGTCTTTTCTTCTTAAAAGGAACGTGTCATGCTTAGAGTTGTGCATAGTTCTGAATATTCGGTATTAATTAAAACTGTACTTGTTCACATATGAAGATTTTTTTATAGGAGTCTGACTCTGCAGCTTCCGAATTTGGTAGGGGTTCAACTAAATCCTGACAGCTGCTGCTCCACCAACTGCCTGATCTCTTTCAGTTTCTAAGGGTACAAATAACAGAGACCTATAATTATTTAAAGGATAAATTCACCTTTTGATAAAAAGTAATAAATGCACATTATTTTGCAGATAAAAAAATGTGCATTTCATTATTTTTTGCTGCAGGGGCCTGTAAAGCATTGCACCAGCGATCAGCAGATCGCTAGTACCATGCAAATCTGTCAATATATCTGTTTGCCCATACAGGATGTACGAGCAAGCAGATATTCTGACAGGAAGAATTCGTGAATTACCACGGTGCTCTTCCCTCGCCCCCCTTTTTTTTTTTTTTTCTTTTTTTCTGTGTGTGTGTTGTCCATGTCTCTCTACTATTTGTCTTTTTCTACTCTTCTGTCTACTCTGTCCTTAAGCATAATTTACGGATTGTACCTGCTGTTCTCTGCGCTGCATCCGTATGGCTATTTATGCAATCTAGATTTCTTTTTAAATTCTAGGTCATGAATATGTACTGTTTTTTTTTTTTTTTGATGTGGCCATTTCTCGGGCCTTTCCTGTTTATTATAATGTTGATGTAGCAATACTTCCCTTTGGAGTTTACATTATCATTGACCCACAAAGGTCTGTTACCCGTTCCCTCCCAATCTCCCTCCCCATCCCTTCCCTCAGGGCACCTATGTAAACTTTTCAGATTTTGCTTTTATCGATACATGCCTTGCACCATCTTCCTTGCATTTATTGTAATATGTAACTGTTGGTCATTGAATTTTTGCTACGATTGTCTGTTCATCTTTGCTTATTATTCAATAAAGCTTTTTGTAAAAGAATTACCACGGTGCTCCACAGCACCATGGTAGTTCATTGAAGACTACAAGTTGACAGCTGCTAAGGTTGCTGGGACTTGTAGTTTCTCATTCACAGAGGAGTGACATAGCCAGGCGCCCCACACAGCCACGGTTTTTATTTTCAGCCCCTGCTAGCTGTCAAAGCGGGGGATCGTGCTTTCATAACATGTTACACCCTGAATATGTATGCAACACATTATGAAAAGTGAACTTATCATTTCAACTCTTCCTAACTATGACTTTCTTTTTTTATGATGATGTTTTGTATGCCCTCTCCTACATCTCTGGATCTCTAACTAGGGAGATGTAGGAGAGTGTGCCTCATGCACACTGGATGTTTTTAACACTTAGATTGTAAGCTCCAAGGAGCAGGGCCCTCCTAACCTTTCTTGTATTGAACTGTATTGTTGCTGTATTGTCTCCCGTTATACTGTACAGCACTGAGCAAACCTCTGGCGTTATATAAATCCTGTATAATAATAATAACACTGCTTTTTAAGTTAGTCTGGAGATTTTTGTTTTTTGTCTTCCTCTAAATGTCCCTGCATGTTAGCGTATGTGTCCATGCACACCTAGGCATTTAGGAGAGTTTAGAGGCAGAAAAAACCCCACTGAATGCGCAGTCAAGAGCAGAGGTGTTTTAGCAGAAGAACATTTGACGCGCCTTAATGCATTGTTTAGGGCATGTTTAGCAGTTGAGTGTTCATTTTAATGGCTAGAATAAATTATTCTTGCCAATTAAATTATTTAACGTCCAAGGGCTTGATGAGCCTAAACACGTTACACGTTTACAAGAGTCAGGCGGTTTTTCTAATAAACATCAAAACTTGTGGCACTACAACCCAATTGTATCTTTGGGGCAGGCTAGAGCTCTCTGCATGAACTCACTGTGCCTGGACAGTGTTCTCCAGTCTGCAACACAAAAGTCCTCCAAACCAATGTAGGATCGACAACCAGGTGAGCATGAGTAAAATCAGTCTTTATTACTTCCAAAGGAGCAAATCAATTCCAATATAGAACCAATACTAATGCATTTCAGCCTGCAAAGGCCTTACTCATAGTCAATGAGTATGTGTAAGGGCTATGCAGGCTCAAATGCGTTAGTTTTGGCTCTGTCTTGGAACTTATGTACACCTTTGGAAGAAATGAGTGATTTTACACATACTCACCTGGTTGCCAACTTTACATTGATTTCAAGCATTTTTTTTCTACCAAAATACCGCTAGACGCCAAGGAAAGTCATCTAGGAGAGTTGGGCAAAGTGTCCCATGTGCATGAGGCCTTAAAGTGATTTTACAGGTTTAAACTATTAAAAGTAAACCTTTTGCCTGCAAGAAGATGCCACAAGATGCCCAATTTTATCTTTCTTTATTAATCAGGAAATCCTATTCTGTGCCCCTCTCTGATGTAGATTCACTTACTAGGATTTGACTTTCCTTGACTTGAAGTGGAGCTGTGGGCAAAATCAAAAATTATATATATATATGATGATTTTTGTTTTTCCCAATCTCCCTGAACAATGTTCTGTTATTTTTCCACTTCCAGTAACATGTTTGTTTTGCAGTGAAATTTCACAGCAGCATTGGCACCCTGTGGGCAGGTAGACTTAGAGTAGGTTTGGTTGGACTTATTTATAAGAGACAAACAAGTTAGAGCCTAACTCCCGCTATTGCTTTTTAAGCAGTTACAGCAAACATTTTTTCTTTTGGAAACATTTTTTTAGAAGATATGAATAAAAGCTGACCATTTTAAGCACACTTGTCAGTGTGTTTCCAACCCTTTACGTGCTCTTTCTCACAGGCAGCCAAGGGGCAGTAAAGAGAGGTAGCTGAGCCATGGATATACCACTCCCTGGCTGCCCACCTGAGTGCTAAAATTACAGCCTTGCAGGGCTATACACATGCTATGGCCACAATGCTTTGCTTTGTGGCTGTAGCATTTTTAACTTGAGCTGCAGAGTTTGACAGGGGCGGCACCACCTGTCAACTTGCCCATTTAGATCGATAGGCCTGCACTGCAATTACCAGCCAAATGCTTGGAATATAAAATTGCCTTTCTGCAATTAAACAAAATAGTTAAAAAAAATAGACATCAGGAGGTATCAGTAGGGTGCCTGTTAGCCATTGCTCTACTGACCTCTGAAAAGTGATCCAAAGTAAGAACTGCCAACTGTGTGAAAGAGATACAGTCATGGCCGAAATTGTTGGCACCCTTGATATTTTTCCTGAAAATCAAGTATTTCACACAAAAAAGGTATTGCATTAACACATGTTTTGCTATACACAATTCCCTTTGTATGTATTGGAACAAATATAAAACAGAGGCAGAAAAGCAAATATGACATAATGTCACACAAAACCCCAAAAATGGGCTGGACAAAAGTATTGGCACCCTTAACTTAATATTTGGTTGCACACCCTTTGGAAAACATAACTGAAATCATCGCTTCCTATAACCATCAATAAGCTTCTGACACCTCTCACCCGGAATTTTGGACCACTCTTCCTTTGCAAACAGCTCCAGGTCTCCCTTATTGGAAGGAAGAACCTTTTCCCAACAGCAATTTTAAGATCTCTCCACAGGTGTTCAATGGGATTTAGATCTGGGCTCATTGCTGGCCACTTCAGAACTCTCCAGCGCTTCTTTGCCATCCATTTCTGAGTGCTTTTTGACATGTTTGGGGTCATTGTCCTGCTGGAAGACCCAGGATTGGACGCAAACCCAGCTTTCTGACACTGGGCCCTACAGTGCGACCCAAAATCCTTTGGTAAAAGATTTCATGATGCCTTGCACACAGTCAAGGCACCCAGTGCCAGAGGCAACAAAACAACCCCAAAACATCATTGAACCTCCACCAATTTTACCGTAGGTACTGTGTTTTGTTCTTTGTAGGCCTCATTCCGTTTTCGGTAAACAGTAGAATGATGTGCTTTACCGAAAAGCTCTATCTTGGTCTCATCTGTCCACAAGACGTTTTCCCAGAAGGCTTTTGGCTTACTCAAGTACATTTTGGCAAACTGTAGTCTTGCTTTTTTATGTCTCTGTGTCAGCAGTGGGGTCCTCCTGGGTCTCCTAATAGCGTTTTCATTTCATTTAAATGTCGACGGATAGTTCGCAACGCTGACACTGATGCTCCCTGAGCCTGCAGGACAGCTTGAATGTCTTTGGAACATGTTTCGGGGGGCTGCTTATTATCCACCATCCGGACTATTCTGCGTTGCAATCTTTCATCAATTTTCCTCATCATCCGTCCACGACCAGGGAGATTAGCTACAGTGCCATGGGTTGCAAACTTCTTGATAATGTTGCGCACTGTGGACAAAGGCAAATCTAGTTCTCTGGAGATGGACTTGTAACCTTGAGATTGTTGATATTTTGCCACAATTTTGGGTTCTCAGGTCCTCAGACAGTTCTCGTCTCCTCTTTCTGTTGTCATGCTTAGTGTGGCACAGACAGACACACAATGCAAAGGTTAAGTGAACGTCTCTCCTTTTTATCTGCTTTCAGGTGTGATTTCTATATTGCCCACACCTGTTACTTGCCCCAGGTGAGTTTACAGGAGCATCACATGCTTGTAACATTCTTATTTATCCGCAGTTGTGAAAGGGGTCCAATACTTTTGGACATTATGTCGAATTTGCTTTCTTTCCTCCCTTTTTTTGTTTTGTCCCAATACACACAAAGGGAATAAACATGTGTATAGCAAAACATGTGTTAATGCAATACGTTTCGTGAGAAATACATGATTTCCTGGAGAAATATCAAGGGTGCCAACAAGCCATGACTGTATAATTGAAACTGCTGGACAGCTTGGCCTTTTAAAGAAGGTGGGAAAATAAAGAATCCATTTGCAGAATCAAAGGGTAATAAAACTATGCAACAGGCAGGACTCAGATCTGGAAAATTCCAATCTAGTGAAAGTACTTTTATTAGGAACTGACACAGTCTCATTGACCCCAGGCATTGCAGTTTGCTGGGCTTAGCCATTAAAGTGGTTGTAAACCCTTACACATACCCAATGAAGTGATTGGCCTCAGGTGACACAAAAGAGATGAAATAAATCCTCCTACATAAGATGTACCTGTTTATCTGTAGCACACTGTCTCCGACATCCATTCAAAGTGCAGAATTTACACAGGATCTCTCAGCTCTGAAAAGCAGGGGCTGGGGAGCTAAAGTTACACTCAGTGAAGAGAGCTCTGAGAGTTGATTGGAGGGAAGGGACACACACCCCTGCACACAGAACACAGGAACAGAGCTGATGCTGTCAATCACAGGCTGTGTGCTGGCGGTCCCCCCCCCCCCCTCACTATTTTCCTCTTGGTGTTGGGAAAAGTAGTAAAGTAATAGACAGAAATGACATTTAGTGCTCTTTACTGAGACAAAGACACACTATAGAGGAATATGCTTTGTTCATATTTCATGTCTCAGGTTTATAACCTCTATAAGTCTTATTTCACATTGATGGCAGAGGGGTGGTCAAAACAGACTGTTAATCCATGTTTTTAGCCCCCCCCAAAGCAGGCAGCCAGAGGGGTGAGACAAGTACATACTATTCGGGGGTCAGCAACCAGTAGATTGTGATCTACCAGTAGATCTTGGCCAGGTGACTGGAAGATCACGGTCAGGATTTGCTCACCCGCCATTCCAGAGCATCAAACAGAGTGCAATGCAGAGGGACTACTTGAAGTTGGAGCTGTAGTAGGGAGCAAGAGCCACATAAGCTGATGTCTCCTCTGTAGTGCCGGCTCCTATGCCCTGTCACTGTTAGTGGTGTAGCAGCTGCCCAGCATAACCCATTCAAGTGAATGAGGCTGCTCTGCAGATGAACTGCAACCTTGTGCAGTACAGCAAACAGGTGATCTTTGAATTTCTCCCATGCTGTTTAGGTAGATCTCCACCTCTTTAAGGTTGCCTACCCCTGCTATAGAGGGATATGTTTTTTCATATTTCATATCTGAGGTTTGCAATCTCTGTAAGTCAAACAAAGTCAGGCCCTGGTAACAAAGAATACCTAAATACAACACGTTTCTGAGTATTAAAGGTGATAGCAGGATTTTGTGGTGTCTTCTCTTAGAAAATATGTTTACTTCGTAACTATAAAAATAGAGCCCTGAGTAGTCCATCATTCCAAATGGCATCTTATAAAAAAACATTTTCAGGAAAACATAGCAGCATGCCAATTTATAAGGACTGCAGGTATTTAACATTTTTGCATCTTTGCTACCTTTTTTTTTCAATCCCTTGGCTATGGATTCCTTCTAAATATCCTTCTGTAATTGATCCATGGTTTCAGTTTAATACTGTACAAGTGGCTGATGGCAGGTCTGCCATCACATGAATAAAAAGTTTCTAATACAAATGCAAAGAGAAAGCTACAGAAAATGGCATCTTACATCTTAATAAAACTCCAGTTATTTATTTTGCAAAATGTTCTTTGTGCTTTCCTGTTCCTTGTTTTTTTTTTTGGTGTAAAATGGGACCTCTGAGTCTTCCTTACCTTTTATAGCTCTGCCTGTTGAAAGTTCACTGTTTAAGTGAGATCATCTATCGTACAAGACAGCAGCAACGAGAACTCCGCGCTCATGTCGTCAGGTTCCACGAGTGTGTGGAGGAGATGGAGCTGTATTGTGGAATGTGTGGGGAATCTATTGGAGAGAAGAATTGCCAGCTCCAGGCATTGCCCTGCTCCCACGTCTTTCACCTCCGGTAAGAAGAGTTGACATGTAATACAATTTATATCTCCTTTAGAAAAGTCTAAATTATTCCATTTGGATACAAATTCTTCAGTGGGAAAGTTCTTCACCCCTTAGACCCCTTGGGGAAGATTTCAGCCAGTCTGATCACCAGTCCTTCTTTTTTAGGCGAGACCATGGAGGAGATTTACTAAAACTGGTGCACTCAGAATCTGGTGCAGCTGTGTATGGTAGCCAGTCAGCTTCTAACTTCATCTTGTTCAATTAAGCTTAGAAAATAATACCTGGAAGCTGATAGAATTCTATGCAGAGCTGCATCAGATTTTTGCACACTCCAGTTTTAGTAAATCTCCCCCCTAGTCTCTGGCTCTCTGCACAAGTGTTATGTACATCAGTCAACATCATTCCAAGCTATGGTGTCACCTTGTTACCAACCCCATGCTTGATTACTCAGAGTGGTCAAAAGGAATGCTGTGTGAGACAGGTTGTGGTAAAGAAAGGTTCCACATTGTCCAATGAGTACTGAAAAATTGGTGGGATGACTGGTTTCTGGAGAGATTTCCATTTCCTAAACTTAAAGTAGTTTTTTGTTATACTTCAGCCAAAGTGTATTTAGTAGGAAGCTTTAAAGGACAGACAAAATATATAGTCATAAAGCGTATCTAAATCCAGAAACATAAATTTTATCTGGCGATCTAGCCAGTAACACTTCCTTCCTGTGACAGCGTGAGGAAAGTGCAGCCGATAACCGGAAAGTGCATTTACTGGTGATCTGCTGTGTCATTGGACATGGCTGATCACATGGTAAAAGGCCGCTGTAATTGGCCTTTTACCATATCACATGATCAGCTGTGTCCGTAGGACACAGCGATCACAGAAATGACTGGGTGCGCGCCCCCAGGGGCGTGCGGGAGGGCTTGTTCTGGGAGGACGTCATATGACGCCCTCCCAGAACTGGCCGGCCACGGTAAAGCCATCGTTCAGCTATCTGCGGTCGGCAAGTGGTTAATGAGCAACCCAACTTTTATAAACACTACTGCAATCAAAAGAGCCATTCTGAGACTAAGGTAAGTCTCTTTTTGTCTGGTTGTGGTGATTGATTCTCCCCTGCCTTTCTGTGATCAGAGAATCAATCATCTTTTATGACCCTGGCCTGTGTGTGCGACTGATCTGGTTTTGACCAACCTCCCCCCAAATTCATGTGATCCTTATCAGATCCTATAAATTTAGACAAGCTTATGGGGGAGGTCACAGATGGGGGGCATTTTTCCTGCGTGAGTGCATTTTTTTTCTGCGGTTTCTGCTGGAGTGCAGATAACTCTACAGCACGCTGAATGGACTGCAAGCAAACACCCTGGGAAACATCTCCTACAAGTTTGATTCCCACTCCATCCACCTTTTAAAATGCCGCCTCTACTCCTTTTTTATATTACTATCCCCTGCTCTCAAAATCTCCTTTCTTTACCCTTCTGCTCCACCCCAAAGCTTATACATCTCACTCCTCACTGCTACCATCTCCCTACTACTGCTCTCATCACCTCCTGCTGATACTTTACTCACCTGCTGACCCAAACACCAGGACAGGAAGGCATGTGCATTCATATACATCCCGCTCCCATTTTACTTTCCTCACCTCTGGGGATATCTCCCCAAACCCTAGTCCTCCAGTATCTCATCCCCACACCAAGCACTCTCCTTTCTCCAGGAATAGCCACAATCCACTCAATTGAATTTCATTCGCTATGCTCCTAAAAAACCACCCTCCCTTTTTCTTGTGCACTCTGGAATGCCCGCTCTGTCTGTAATAAGCTCACCTCTGTCCATGACTTTTTTGTCTCCGGCTCCCTTAACCTACTAGCAATTACAGAAACCTGGCTTCAAGTATCAGATTCTGCTTCTCCTGCAGCACTTTCCTATGGAGGCCTTCTCTGGACCCACTCACCCAGACCCAGTCGTTGGAAAGGAGGTGGAGTTGGTTTCTATCCCCACTGAGCACCTTTCAAGCTCTCCCTAACCCTCCCTCTCTATCCTTCTCTTTTTTCGAGACTCACTGCATTCGGCTGTTTTCTCCCATTTCTTTGAGGATTGCAGTGATCTATCGGCCTCCTGGGACAGTGTTGCGTCTTCTTGATGACTTCTCTGCTTGGCTACCCTACTTTCTCACCTCTGAAATACCCACTATCATTCTTGGAGATTTTAACATCTCCTTTAATGTGAACAACCCGGCTACATCCCAACTCTTCAACCTAACCTCATCTTTTGCCTTAACACAATGGACACAGTCCTCCACTCACTCTGATGGGAATACATTAGACCTTGATTTCTTCCATCTTTGCACTCCCTACAACCTAACAAACACCCCCTTTCCTCTCTCTGATCACAATCTCATCACCTTCACAGTGTCCTCATCTTCAAACACTTTTCCCTCCAAGCAGCAAAAAATTACCCGCAGAAACCTTCACAACTTAAACCCTGCTCCTTTCCACTCTGCAACTGACCAACTCTATGACAGAATCTCTCCCCTGTCCTGCCCTGACCTGTCCACTGCTGTCCACAACAGTTCACTTTCATTCACATTAGACTCACTTGCTCCTCAAACTACACAAAGTATCAAGCCACGACCATTACAACGTGGCAGACGACACCAGAAATCTTAAGAGACATAGTTGTGCACTGGAGCGATTGTGGCGTAAAGCCAAATCTCACCAAGCATTCACCCTATATAAATCTGCTTTCTTAACATACAATTCCTCCCTCCATGCTGCCTAACAAACCTACTTTGTCACTCTCATCAATAGCTTGTCATCCAGTCCTCGTCGTCTCTTCTCTACTTTCTCCACCTCCACCCAGTAACTCACTCACTGCTTACAAGATTGAAAATCATTTCAAAAACAAGATTGACGCAATTCGTAGGGGCATCTAGACTGCACAGACATCCATCCCACTTACCATACCTTGTACTATACCTCCCCCAACACTTTCCTCTTTTGACCTTGCTACTACTGAAGAGGTCACTAAAGTTTTCTCAGAAGCCCGTCTCACCACCTGCCCCCTGGATCCTGTCCCCTCTCAACTACTACAGTCACCCTCTTCTTCCATCCTATGCTCTCTCACTCACATCTTCATTCTCTCCCTCTCTAATGGTGCCTTCCCCACCCCTCTAAAGCATGCATACATCACTTCCATACTTAAAAAACCCTTGCTGGACCCCACCAACCTGAACAAGTTAAGACTCATCTCCCTGTTGCCATTTACCTCTAAACTCCTAGAACGCCTAGTCTACACTGACCTGTGCTCCCACCTCACTGACAACAACTTTCTTGACCCTTTACAGTCTGGCTTTCGCTCACTACACTCCACTGAAACTGCCCTACTAAAACTCACTAATGATCTACTAACAGCTAAAACCAATGGCCACTACTCCGTACTCTTACTACTTGACCACTCTGCGGCTTATGATACTGTTGACTGTCCCCTCCTCCTCAAAAATCTCCACTCTCTTGGCCTCCGAGACTAGAACGCTGTCTCCTCCTCTCCACTCCCTCTTTCTGTAGGTGTCCCTCACGGTTCTGTCCTTGGACCCCTTCTTTTCTCTACCTACACCTCCCCCTTGGTCACTTGATAAACTCCCATGGCTTTAAGTACCATCTCTTTGGTGATGACACACAAATCTATCTTTCTACTCCTCACCTCACCCCTTCAGTCTCCTCTCACATTACTATCCTAAGTGACATATCAGAATGGATGTCACTCCACTTCCTCAAACTCAATCTTTCCAAAACGGAGCTCATACTATTCCCTCCAGCCTGTGCCCCCTCCCCTGACTTCTCCATTATGATCAATAATACAACCATTAGTCCCTCCCCTCATGCCAGGGTACTAGGTGTAATCCTAGACCCCCATCTATCCTTTCAGCCCCAAATCCAATCACTGTCCAAATCGTGTAGACTTCACCTCCGCAACATCTCCAAGATACGCCCGTTCTTCACCTCTGAAACTACTAAGCAACTTGTTCACTCCCTTGTTATATCTCGCCTTGACTATTGTAACTCCCTCCTCATTGGCCGACCTCATCGCAGGCTATCCCCTCTTCAGTCTATCATGAATGCTGCTGCCAGACTCATCCACCTTACTAACTGTCCCATATCTGCCATCCCTCTCTGCCGATCCCTCCACTGGCTTCCCATTGCCCAACGAATAAAATTCAAAACACTAACAATAACGTATAAAGCCATTTATAACTCTGCCCCAAATTACATCACCAATCTTGTGTCCAAATATCACCCAAACCGTACTCTCCACTCCTCCCACAACCTCCTGCTCTCTAGCTTCCTTGTCTCCTCCTCCCATGCTCGTCTTCAGGACTTCCCCCATCCTCTGGAACTCTCTACCCCAATCTATTCGACTATTGCCTACTCTGTCCACTTTTAGGCGATCTCTGAAAACCTCTCTCTTCAGAGAAGCCTATCCCGCTTTCAGCTAATAACAGAATCTTTTATTCATCCTATCAGTTCATCCTCCACAGTTATTACCTTTTGTACCACCAGCTCCTCCCTCTTAGATTGTAAGCTCCCGGGATCAGGGCCCTCCTAACCCTCTTGTATTGAACTGTATTTTTGCTGTATTGTCTCCTTTTATATTATGAAGCGCAGAGAAAACTGTTGGCGCTATATAAATCCTGTATAGCAATAATAATAAAAAAAAGGTAAGGGATGTACCTTCAAAAGGAATAACAGGCCCTGGAGGCATGGTGAAAAGGGCTCTTGATTGGTGGAAGCATGGCATTACGGCTGAGAGGTGGTTATTTGGCCATGCTACTAAATAGCTAATGAAGTGGATGTCTTTAATAAATGAGCGGGACTGGATAGAGATAGTGAATTGGGTGCAAGGGGCAGTCAAACGGGCCAGAGGTATCCTCTGCATGTAAGTTTTTTTTTGTATGTTTTTTTTTTTTGGGGGGGGGGGGGGGGGATGTGGGGAGGGGGTAGAAAAGGCAAGGTAAAAAAAGTTTGGTTGTAGTACATATTGTTATGCCTATGCTTGTCAGCAGTCGAGCTGTTTCTTTCCGTTTCTGTTCATACATCTATTCTGTTGACATTTTAGCTGCCTCCAAACCAATGGATCTCGCGGTTGTCCCAACTGTCGCCGATCTTCTGTGAAACCGGGCTTTGTGTGAATCAGAGGAGCAGCTTCGCGCTTTTTACAACTTTCACCGAAACTCCAGGACCAGTACGAATCAGAGCAGCTGTGCAAGTGGAACATTGGTGGTCTCTGAGCTTGTCTGTTGCCAAGACCATAATCTTGGTGCTACACTTGCACTACCTGCAGCTAACCTGCCCCTGTCATACATAACCTGTTTGTGAGATCGAAAGGACATTGAAGAAGCCAGCAAACTCTACCATGTATGCACACTGGGCTTATTTTTTCTTGTAATTTTTTTTAAAATATATTTTGTACTTTACCATTGAACAGGAAAATGCTTGATCAACTTTTTATAAACTCTGCCTTTTCAAAGTCTAAGATTGGTAAGGTACACTCAGCTTGGGCTTAGCCATGATCTGCAGAGCAAAGCGTGATGGGGCATAAAGTCAAGAGCAACCAGAAATACCACCAGGTCATTAAGGTACGCCAGTTGAACATTTTTATTTCAATTATACAACATTATTTTAAAGAATTAATAGCATTTGAGAGTTGTATCTACAAGTTTATGGACCTTTATTACAAACTGCCACAGCTCCAGTCTTCATGGACTAATGTACTGAAATGCGTGAATGGATCCACCGTGTTTGTGTAGAGCAGAATATAGTAATTGACTGCTTTTGGCTTTATAAAGTGAAAAGGATTTATCAAAATAGCCATGTGCATGCAAAGCCTGATCTGGACTGAATCACTAAGCTGTTTCCTTATTCCGTACTTCCACAAGGCCTGTGGACATTAGAAGTGAATTTTTTCGTCCTCTCCGGCATTTGTGTGGTGCTGCTCTACATGTCCACATCTCTTTCTCTGAAGAAAGGGCTCTTATGTTCCATACGCCTACCTCCCTCTGTAAATAAAAGATGCTGTGTCTTTTTCTGGTGTTTATGTATGATCTATACTGTGTAACTTACATAGGACCCCTCTGTATGTTTATTCGGATTATATTTTTTCTCTGTGTACACTGTACATCAGAATTGTTTAATGGAGCAGTGCTAAGCAATCATAATAAGGATAATGTGCTAACTTTAATCATTTATAATAGTCAATCAAATTTCAGTTCAGTTGAAATGATTGTAAAGGTAATTTCTTTTTTTTTTCTTAAATAACAAACATGTCATACTTACCTGCTCTGTGCAATGGCTTTGTACAGAGTAGCCCAGATCCTCCTCTTCTCGGTTCCCCCGCCAGTGCTACTGGTTCCTTCTGCCTTTTGAGCCCCCCCTCCCCAACAAGCCCCTTGCTAGGGAATACATATGCGTGTCAATCCCGAGTTGTGCTGTGTGTGTCTACTGACTTACACAGTGTGGCCCTGCCCCACCCCCACCACCCACTCCCTTGTCACTGGATTTGATTGACAGTAGCAGGGGGCAATGGCTGCCGCTATTCTCACTGAATGCAGTGAGGAGGAGAGGGAGGAGCAGCGTGGGATCAAAAACGGGCTCAGGTAAGTATTTGGGGGGGGGGGGGAGTGGCACCTAAAAGGTTTTTTTTTTTACTTTAATGCAGAGAATGCATCAAAAAACTCTTGGCCTTTACAACCACTTTAAAGTTCAGCTGATTTTTCAGTTTAAATGAGCTAAATACATTCCAGATGCATTAAAACAAAAGGTGTCTTACAGTTGGTTTTCTTTTAAAAGCAGCCACAGCCTCGGTTGAAAAGCCTGTCTCCTGCCAGCATGGTATAGAGAAGCACCTTTCCCTCTGTGTGGAAGCAGCAGTCTTCCTGCAGAAGTCCAACACACCTACTACTGAATCAGAACCAGACTCTGCAGGTAGCATGAGCTTTACTGATTGCAGAGCTACATGTCTGACTCAGCAGGGAGGGGGGAGATGGTGTCTGAATCAGCAGAGAGACCACTACTTCCTCACAAGGTGCAAGGGTCTTTCTCTACTCGTAAGGGGCAGGCTTTTTTACTCAGGTTGTGGCTGCTTTCTAAAGAACGTGAACTGCAAGACCTAGATGATGTTTTGTTTTGATGCATTGAATATATAGTATATAGCTGATTTAAACTGAACATTCAATTGGTCTTTAAAAATGGTGTCTGGTTGCTAATTGTTACTGTACTTTTTAATTCTTCACCATAGTGCCATGTTGCATAATCCCACGTCTGAACAGTCACCTTGAATAATCAAGATGATTTATTGAGTTAAGTGCAATAAAGGACCCAGGAGTAATAAACCTCTAATCACAGTTAAATCAGAGTATATATGGGCTGGTGCAGTTGTGTGTTTAATTAGTTGGGATAGTTGGAGTCACTCTATACCACGTCTAAGTATATAATCAGCATCTTGATAATGCCCCCTCCTTCTGCTAATACCTACCTTCAACTCCAACATAAACCAACACAGAGCTTACAAGTACGAGGGACATTCAAGTCAAACCGGGACTTGTGAGTTTATATAATAAAAGAACAAATTTCAAGGAGTGGGAACTGCATTTATTTTTTTTTTTACGTACTCCCCTGCTACAGTTATACACTTATACCAGCGTTTAGCTAATGCCTGGAAAGCTTTAGCATAGATTTGTCAGTACGCCTGAACCATCCTAGGAGAGACTGCTTCACTTCGTCATCGTTGTGTTCACCATTCCCACAGAAAGTTTCATCTCTTGTGCAATTTCAGGACAGATTATGCGTTGATTATCCAGGGTCAGGTGTTCCAAGTGCTGAATGTTAACAGGAATGACTGCTGTGGGCTGGGAACCACCACAGCCAGGATTGTCACTGACGGACTTACAGCCATCTTTGAAACGTGTACACCATTCAGATGTCTTACTGTGGCTGCGAGTCTCATCACTGTACCGTGCTTGAAGTCCTCTGTAGATATCCAGAAGTTTTAAGTCTTCGTCACAAGAAACTTCATCACCACACGCTGTTCCATGAACGCACTAACTCGGTTGTCTGCCATCTTGATTAATGGTCTCTGGACTGGCCCGGGACATGTGCTCCACCTATCAGTAATAGGACACACTTGTCACTTACTACAGCGTGTTGTACCGCCACACTAGCATCCGTTTTTATACTTGTAAAATTAAAAGTCCCAATTTGACTTGAACTCCCCTCGTAGTAACAGTCAGGGTCCTGATTATTAATTGCTTTGTTCTTAATGGGCAAAGCTTAAGGCTGAACTATAGGCATGCAGCTAAATACGAAGATGAAATGAACTGCTTGAATTGTTAAATACGCCTCTGGAAATGTTTGTCCCTGAAAACATTTTTCATTTTAAATGGTCAGTGTACCCAAAACTGAAATTTCAGGTTTTGTTAGCTAGCAGAGAGCTAACATGTTTCCCAGCCCCAAACTAAACATGTCATACTGTATATTGCAGCTTAGCAGCCCCCAGATGTGGTGGTTGCATTCGTTTTCTTTTTTTTATTTTCACCTAATGATCCAATAACACACTTCCCGTCTTAGGGGGACAATACTTACCAACTGTACACTCCATCTGTGGAGGAGCAGTGTTGTTATCCTAGGCTGCGCTCCTGAATTGGACTACGTACACCACCTTCTCTCCTCCTGTCCAGTTCATGGGGAGGAAGTGTTCTGTAGTTCACAGATTATAGGTGGGGAAAACATTGTTTGAGATTTCAGTTCAGTGCAAAGGAAGTTAAAAGGATATAGGAATTCTGGGGGCAATAAACAAGTATTTTTTGTTTTTGGGTCTCCAAAACCTTGAAATTGAAGGGGGGAGGGGGATTTCTAAGTTTCTGGGTCCACACAGCTTTTAGGAGGAGTTCCCACTCTCCCGATGGAGTTAATGTTTTATATTATAGGAACGAATCGGGAGCAGTGGGAATGCCCCAAGATGGAAGACCAGGGACAATGCTTGTCTGTGTTGCATCCCCAGCAATATAAAAATCCAACCCAACAGACTCCATGTGAACCTGAAATATACATTACAGCCATGCTGACCCTTTACTGCTGACCATGTTTACTGTATAGATTTTAGTTTTATGCATGCTAGATTCAGTTGTTATTAGCGCTCAGTGTTTTCCTGGCAGTGTATGTTATTTATTGGCCATAGAGCATGTAAGATGCACAAACAATACTTATGTTCCAATTTAATAAATGTCATGATTTGTTATACAATGCCCTGTGGTCCTTTCATACAGAATCCTGATTACAAGCCCATCTGCATCAGCTAAGCTGTAAACCATCCAAGGGGATTGTCCTCAGTGAGCCATCCTGGGTTCACATATATAAGAAGTACTTCAAAGTCAACACAGGTCTGACAATGAATAATCACGTTTAAAACGTTCAGGTTTTTTTTTTACTTTTGTTTTATACCTATCACCAACTTATTTGTCATCACCAGTCGAGTGCAACTGTATGATAACAGAGACACACTATTCCCATTTTAAGCTAACCCTACACATTACAACCTGATTGTACAATACATGTGGAATCATGGAATGTGCAAATGTACCGTGTATGCAGAGGGACATTGGCATAGATACTTCATGGCTTCCAACTGTTCCTCATTTGGAGGAACTGTCCCTCTTTTGGAAACTAAGTTTTTACATTCTCTTTGGTTTGATGTATAAATCACTACAAAATTAATTATTTAACGATCAATAATATTTTTGTGCATCAAAGTAGAACTATAGCCAAAACCTTTTTTATTCATTTTGGATAGAGTAAGGGAGGGTTATAACTCCTGTCATTTTTTGTTCCCCCCCCCCCGTTTGGCCATCTGTGTCCGTTGCTGTCCCATAGCCAAAACAGGAAACGAGCAACTCTCTGCAAATTAATGAGTGAGTTCACTTTTGCAGGTACAAAAAAATAGCATTTTTTATTTTTTGTTGCAGGAGCCTCAAAAGCATTGTACCAGCGATCAGCAGGTCGCTGGTGCCATGCAGGTCTCCTGCAGATGTGCTTCAGTATACTGCTTGACCATACGAAGATGTATGCACACAAGCAGATATACTACAGTGGCTCTGAGGAAGAAAGTCCTCGAAACGCGTCAATGAACTACCAAGGC